TCCCTAATATTAAATAATAAATACTATTTCTTTTGAATTCTCAATAGCCTTCCAATTTTCCTCCAGATATATTATGAATGTCATTATTAAAATTGCAACTATTTTGATGATTTTCAGTCAAATCTACTCCTACAGGGGAGCCTGCATTAGACAAATCAAGGCTAAGCCAATGTTGCTTTCTCAGATTTTGTGAAGTTTAGGAAGCTATTTCTCATTTCCACCTAATTTTCCAAGGAAAAACTCAGCAAATTTACTTTACTGTGACCTGCTAGTTTCAAAGGTGTCTTAGGTGGTATCATTGAAGGGCAAGGTTTTTGTTTTCCAAGTATGTTGGTTTTCTGTGTAAATGTATAAGTCATTTATTCTTTCCAGATCTCTACAAGCTTCCATCTTACAGGACTTGAACATTCTTTCACTGACTTGTCCCTAGATTTGTCTTAAATGTCATTCTCTTTAACTGGGTGATGTCTTTGAAGTTCTGTATTGGGAACAATGGTCCAATAGGTTTTGTAATCCAGGCATGAGCCACTGGAAATCAGAACAAAAGTAAATGAAATAAGAACTCTTTCCAAAGATCTTATAGTATTATCCTCTAAATTTTACCATGTATGCCATATATTTACTGCATGTGTCAATTGTCAGAAACTGTAAAAATGAAATGAGTTATGATGCTAAAGCTCTGTACTGGCAAGAGGAATAACATTTTTCTAAAGTGAACTGTTTCTTCAGTATAAAGTAGAATCAACATTAGGATATAGAAAACTTATCAACTAGAGTACACTTTCATTATCTCTGCTTCATAAGAGCAACCTTCATGGAAATGCTTAAGGTGCTGGGGAAGAGAGTGTAAAAACCCCTTTCTCTTCTCCCTCCACCCACTGAAATCCAAAACTTCCTGGACCACAGTCATGGTAGGACACTGTACCTCTGCGGGTTTCACACTTCTATTCATTAACATTTGTTACTTAGGAGGAAGCAAGCATTCCTTGTACAAAGTTCCTGTTCCTCATTTGTAATTCAAATAGCAGCATCCAGCCTCTGGATACCAGGCATCACCTCTGGAGTATTGGATTTTTCCTTCTGAAAGCTTAAAGCCCGTTTCCTTAGCTGTGCACCTGTCTTCTCAATGCTTCCTATTACCCCATCGTCTTTCAAACTCTTTTCCTTTCTACCCTCCGCCTCATCTCTTCTTGTCTGTCATATTTCACTTCACTTTCCCCATCCCCTCATGTTTTTTACACTCCCTAATACCTTCACCCAAAATTGTGCATTTATCTTTAAATCTGTTCTTCCTTTCTGAATTCTTAATCTATTTGTCATCTAGAAATATAATTTCAAGGCCAACAATTTTAATTGCACAGTCTTGGCAGGATAAGTCTTGCTTTCCTTAACTGTGGCACATCTCAGATTCAAAGCACCAATGCACTTGATGCCATCTTATTCTTCAATCTGTTCTTGACCACATCCAGTTGAAGAAGTCAAGCCTTTTAAAATGCTGCTGCTAACCTGAACAGTAGTTCTTCTGCTGAAGCCAAGGAAAAAAAGTTTTCCTCCCCTACCTTGCTTACTTAGAAAGTGTTTATAAGTTTGTGCAGATCTTAGGATAGGAATCTGTTATCAGCTTCTCAAATCTATATCCTTGAATCTCCTGTATTAGGATTAAGAAAGGCTCAAGAGAAAGTATTTATGTTATCAGGTTTCAGATGGCTGTTACCTCTCAGCAACTGCAGAAGGCTTACCTGCTGTGCTTTGCAGCTCTGTATTTTCTTTCTTGAGTTCAGTCTCATTAATGAGACAGTCTATCTAGCTTCACTTAGGAAAAAGGGATCTTCAATTTCCTGAGATATTTCCAAATTCCCATTTGAAATTACTCTCTAGCTTGTGTTTTAAATTCATGAAAGCCTACTCTTTTTTGTTACATCACTTCATCTCATTGAAACCTGACCGTGAATGATAGTTTCTTTTTCTTCCAAAAATGTTTTCTGTCCCTGTCCGTCTTCCTCTCCCTCACCCTTCTAAAATCAATACGACATAAAAAATGCTGTCTTGGGTAGGTTAAAATACAAAGAAAAGTCTGATTTGGTAAAA